ACGCGGTCCCGACGCACGGGCCCGGCAAAGTTTTTGGCGGGTAAGCCGCTAACTCGGGAACCAGCGAAGTTAAAAAGTTGAAATTTAAAGGCATGTTTTCAGACAGTCCTGGCGGCCATTCTCAATTCTTCTAGCTAGAAGCATCCGCTGGAAAAAACAGTGCCGTTAGCGACAACAACCAGCTGGGAACTACGCAAACAATGCATCTTCGCACCAGCAGTAGATGCGCTGGCCAATTTATATCAGTCAAAATAATTATAAAAATTCGCCTTTTACCTTCGAATAAAACGGATCGTGGAGTGGTGAAAGTATTAAAGCACCGGTATTCGAACCTGCTGCACTCACATTAACACGATGATTGTTTATGCCCACAAGTTCATGAACCTAAAAAATTTGTCTACATTGTAATTTTTAGCGTCGTGAATATGACCTGAGCACTGCACATGACTAAAATTTTTTTTTCGGAGATAAAAGTTTTTGTGACTTTTCTTAATTTTACAAAAGCACCGCTCAAATTTGGTGCACTGTTGGTGTCAGCAAGTAGCAGCACATTTAGTGAAGTACTCTAGTCTCGTTTTCGTTTGCGCCATTAACATCTTTCACTAGGTACCGAGCGAAAGATGTTAATGGCGCAATCAATAACAGCAGTTTCCCTGAATGAATCACGAGAATGTGAAAACAAAGCTGATTATTAGATGGTATCAAAATGAATGCAAGACATTTCTTACATCTTTCATTTCTCTTAATTTCTTTATTCTTTCTTTTCCTTATTTCATTCCTTCTTATTATAACCTTCTATAACAAAAGACTTGAATGAAATGGAGGAGGATGGGGCATGTCCAAGGAGGGGGAAAAGGCGGAGGAACTGCAGTTTTGACGATTCGAAACGATGCACTGAAAAAACTGATTAAAGTAACAAAGTCCTGTACCATAGCTTCGTAAGTCCACTGATTTAACAGAGGTGTAACTGGGTCTTCACTTCGATCGATTATTAGTAAAACAGTGTCGGTTTTCGCTGTTTCAAACAACGATTCCTCACGTGCAACCGTTTTCGCTACTTCTTCTGCAAGCTTTTTGCAATCTTGATTTGATGCTTGATATCTGAAATCAACATATTCAAAAACAGAAATGCGTACTAACATTTGCCACAGTCGATAATTTAGAAGGCAACGCTCAGTATGTGACTAATTTTACTCTCTCCACACACAAATAATAGCTGGAAAATCTAATAAGCGAAAAAACGAAAGAGATAAAACCGGCAGTACCTGGACAAAAGCGGGCCCCGGCCCACAAAGGGGGATTTTCCTTCCCTCCCTCCTCTCCGTTCGTCACTACATCGGGAGCCTCACCCACTCCCTCGGGCAGCCCGCTAGCTCCCCTCGCTCGTTCTGCCACATCCTCTTCCTCCTCGATGGCCCCGTTACACCCTCCCCTCGCTGGTTGACACTAAACTTAAACTGTCGCGACAACCGAGGTGGGAGGAGGGGACAGGCTTCTAGGGGAAGGTGACGGGGGTATCGAGTAGAGTTTTCTGCGGTAAAACAGCTGCCACCTGAGCCTCTTGCCTCCC